CGAGGAGCACAGCCTGCAGCCCTGCCTTGGTGAGCTGAGGTGAGATGAGCAACTGCCAGGAAGAGATGGAGACAAGGGAGCAGGAGCTCCAGTGATGGGGTTCACTGAGTGCAGGGACAGAAGTGTGCTGGGGGATGCTATGAGGTGCAGCTCTGCGTGGGAGGCATGGGGAGGAGCCCAGTCCTACCAGAAAGGCTGCTCATAAACCAGAAACAACCCCACAACCTCACCAAAGCCCTCCACAGACAGCGAGGCAAGCTAGTTTCTCTGCCACTCTCATGTTTGTTCCATCTCACATTGCCTTCAAGCCCAAACTCTGGCAAATTTGGTCCTGTCCCGCTATGAGGCAGGCTCATGGCTCCAGCAGAGGATCAAAACAGCCCTTTCGAGCCCTGCAGCTCCCAGCTCTGCCCACTCCCTACCATGAAACATATTTGAACATCCTCTTCCAGACCAAAAGAAATCCCCACCCTCCTATCCATCACACAGCCTTGGCTGAAGTACCTCTCACAGCATGCCCAGATGTTTAATCTCTGGGAGCACTTGAACGTAATTTTAGAAAAAGCCATGACGCTCTGCTGCAAGCTCTGCAGGACCAGGGAATCTGCTTTGCTCCTAAGTGACTTCTGCCAACTCTTTGCTCAGAAAGAAGCTAATGCAGGAGGCAGAGTGACAGTGCAGGTCTGCCCCAGGACAGAGATGTCCTCTCCCCAGGACGGAGCTAAACTGTTCTGTGCAGAGCTTCTCCTGAGCCCCCAGCCATTGCTGTCGGTGCCCTTTCAGGTAGTGGGAAACACTTCCCAAAGGCAGGCTGCCACATTCAGGCACTTGCCGAGTACTCCTTTCTGCCTGTGTATCCATTTGTGGTGCCAGTGTACCTAGGCTTTTAACAGATTTTAAACAAACCTATTATGCCAGAAGTAGAAGCACACAAATGGAGAGCAGCAAATGTATTACCTACGCTGCCGGAGCGGGCGCTGCATCCCATTAGTGTTGCTGGAAAAGTGCACAAAGTGCTGGAACAAGTGATGCTGAAGGAAAGGATGAGGAAAAATGGGGAGAGGGCATAAAAGGGTAAAATGCAACAGAAATTTCCCATGGATAAACCACAGCCCCCTCCCCAGAGGAGATAATTGTCATTTTAAATGGGAACACGGTGGATCAAATGTAATAGGGGCTGCAACAGAGCAGAAAATACCTATTCAGGCAGGAGAAGGCAGGAATTACTATGAGAATTGTAAGGAGGCTAATAGGGAAACGATAGTACATTACAATGGAAGGATCATTAATGCTCTGGAGAAGGCTATTAATAGAGTTCCTTAAAGATCAGCCTAGAGATAAATTTTATTTAATGGTTTTCATTAGCAATTCTGGCTTGGAAACAGGAGTTTCTCTAAGCAAATGTACTGGTGAGAAATGTGGAGAAGTTTTGAACTGGACAAAGGACTGAAAGTGCTACAGGAGATGAACCAGGGGACCTGAAGGTTCATAGAAACACAATGGGCTGGCACAAGTTCATATGCTTAGAGAATAACAGCAAAAATTGCTACTCTAAGCAGCTGAAAACACCATAGGAAAAATATGTAGCTTTTAGGGAACCCTGGGATGAATGCAAGAAAACAAATGCAAACTGACAAGTCTTCACAGCAGAGATGGTGTCCGTCAAAGCACCAGCACCGTTGGAAAAGGCACTGGAAGGAAGACCCAGAAGCGATGCCCTACTCTAGGCCCTCGCTGTCAGGAGAGTGATTTTGAACAAGGAATAAGTCCAGGCTGTGATAATGAGGATAATCAGGTAAACAAAAAAGCTGCCTGGTGAGACAGAGCTGGAAGGGTATCATTTATTCAGGCTATTGCTAGAAAGGCTGCCACGGGAAACAGCTGCTCCACTCATACATCAAGGAGGAGACGAAGTTGCTCTGCCAAAACGCAACAGGATCAGGGGACACAGGACCTGGTGTTAAAGGTGGCTGCTGCTGACCTGGGCAGAAAACCAGGGGCAGATGTTGAGTCCCAGGGAAATGATGCTTCAGGTGAGAGCTCTGAGCCCGACACATTGACGGCACACTGACGGCAGCGTGCTGACCCCACAGCGCTTGTCTACACCAGCCCTTTCCCAGGATATGGGAAAGTTTCTCACACCCCCATCACAATTAGGGTTGCAACATCCCATGTCCGAGCTGGCAGGCAGCATACCCTGCCCTGTCCCATGGAAGAACAAACTCCCAAGGGTTTGCAGGCATCCAAGCCCCACAGCCCACATGCGCAGGGAGGGTGCCTGTGCTCAGGCTTTGGGAGATGTGCTCTACTTGGGCTCCTCTGCAAGGATGAGGACACTTCCATCCCCTTCATTTGGGGACCCTTGCTCCTTCCTTCCACAGCTCAGCCCAGCCATTCCATATCACACTTGGAAATATTTCCTACTCCCTGCCCAAGGGGGAGGGGAAAAAATAAAAAAAGTGCCTATTTCCTGCTAACTAGAAAAACTAATTAGAAAAAGGAATAAGAAACAAAACGACTTCTGTCCAGGTCTACAGCATAGGGCTGCTCCGAGGACTGCCCTGTGGCACTGCCGGCACCGTGGCGGGTGCCAATGCACCCGGAGCTGGGACTCGCTAGCAGGGCCCAGGCTGAGCCCCGGGAGAGCCCTCGTGGGCTGTGAGAGCTGGTGGCAGGAGTAGGTTATTGATGTGTAGCGAGGCAGCTACATAGGAGGCTGGTGATCCACCCACTGCATTTTCTAAGTATGCTACTCCCCCTATAATTTATGCTGCCATTTCCACATGTTGGGAGCAATGAAAAAACATCCCTTTCACTTGGAAGTACCCTTCTCTGAGAACAACCTGTTCTCGTCACTGCCATCAGCGAGCAGGCAGCGCTCAGCTTGTTCCACGCTCCTTTTGTGCACGAACAAAGGGCTTTCCATGGCAGGAGCCTGCGCTGCAGCAGGAGGTGAGGAACCGCTCCGCACGCTGCCGCCGCAGCTGAAAGTGTGGTATCCCTTTCCCGACTTCCTTAATCCCAGCACCCAAATTCAGAGGACCCCCTGCCTGGCAATGGGTTTGCTCCACTCAGCAGAAGGCTTCCCACAGGCTGGTTCATCGCTTCTCACTTTCAATTCCCTTAGAAACAGCAGGGCTGCAGGTATCGTCTCTAATCTCACCAGTCCAGTCCCCATCTCTGCACTGTGTGGCTCCCAGCAATCAGTGGTTTACTCATGCAGTCTCCCCAGCATACTCCCTCCCCTGGCCGCCATGCCTTTAACCTTGAATCAAAGACACAAATCATCTGAAGAGCATTTCAACCTGCTCCACATCGTTATCTTGCTCTTGCAAGGTGAGTTTAACTTGAAAATCTCACCTCCGTCCTCTGCCACAGCTGGACCCTTTTCCTCTCCTGGAGTTTCTCCTCTTTGCTCCATCCCTGCAGCTTGTTGCACCCCGTGGAGAATCAGCTCTACCTTCCTGCCCAAGCATGTGCATCACCATCAGGGAGGGCTTCACTGCCGCTTCATGTGCTGCAGAGAGCCTGGGGAGCTGGGTCCTGCACCACCCACAGGGAATGAAGCAGGATGGGGAGACCCATCACCTCAGCTGGGAAGTGGATGGAGGAGACCACAGGCAGTTGGGCTCCTCAGCCTGCCCCCACACCCTGGTCTCTTGTCCCTGCAGTGTCTCAATTTCTCTTTAGGCACCTTCCTGGCATGGGTGTTGCTTGCAACCACACAGGAACCAAGGGCCCTTCGAATGTAGTAGAGGCATGGTCCTGGAGACCACCCTAATCAGCAGCTAAAAGCTGTTTTGGAGGTTTGAGGGGTTTGCTGTGTCGTTTCCGCCCTTGCAAAATATGGCTTTCTGTTATCTACACACAGACTGAAAAGAGTCATAAAAGTCTACAAGGGATGTTCTCCACTCTGTGTCCCTGTCCCACAGTGGGAGCCGCTCCATCCAAACCCTCCCTGAAAAACAAACCTCCATGCTGCCCTTCAGCTGCTGGGAATGGGACTAACGAAGTTGTCGGAGCCCTTTCCAGCCACCTCCTCCCCGGGACATTGCACCACTGACAAAAACATTCCTCTTTCCTCCCAGGGCCCTGAGCAGGGTGAGGATTTCCTCCCCAGGCTGCAGGAGCCAGTGTGGTTGCTGACAGCAGGGACCAACACAAGGCATGGGCTGCTGCAAAATGCAGATACAAAGGCAAATTTTAGTGAGACTCACAGCACAGCTGAGCTTCAGAAATTACGTAGTGGTGACTAATTATCCTGATTTCATAAGAAAAGCACGCTGCTTTCTCAAGAAAACTCTTCCCTCATGTCCTCCCAGTCCTCCTTTCATCGTAAGCCTATAGGAATTTGGTGCCTCTAAAATCCCTATCCTTCTCTCAGCATCCCTACATGACGTGGGCACCCCTGGGGCTGGGGGAGGCTGGCTGGCAGGCACACATGTGTCTGGCTGCCAAGGGGATTTCCAGTTCAGATCTGAGTGGGCTGGAGCATCCAGAGAGGTGCAGACACCCTGTTTCTGGAGGGGTTTGAGGATCTTTGTGCACTGCAGCTCTGGGTTGATGCTTTCTTTGCAGGTTGTCCTTGGGAGGTGACAAAGCTCTGTCCCTGCTGGAGCTGGCTGCTGTCACCAAAAAAACACAGAGAGCACGTGAGACCCCATGGGACCTGACTCCATGGTCACTCAGAGGAAAGGAAAAGGCAGGAGAGGAAAAGGGAGCTGTTGAGACCCACCAGCAGCTGCCACAGGGATCAGCTCCAACACTGAGCTCACAGCTGGGGCCAACAGGCACAAGCAAATCACAGGGACACATCTTCCCCTAGAAGATGTCATTCCTAGCATACAACTGAACACCTGAAGTGACTCTGCAATGTTCTCCAGAGTCACTGTGGGCCCAAGGTCACTTTGGAAAGGGCTCTGGAGCTGCCTGACAGAGGATCACCCCAAATAGCTTTGGAGCCAGTGAGAGCAGGACTGCTCCATCCATGCAATTGCACTATGGATCCATGTGACAACCACACAAGCTCTGAAAAAGGGATGGAGTTCCCCCTGCAACTGCTGGTCGGGTCCTGCCTCACCATCCTCATTGTGATCACTCTCTGTGGTAACATTATCGTCTGCCTGGCCGTCACCCTCGACCGCCGGCTCCGCAGTCTGACGAACTGCATCATCGTCTCCTTGGCCATCACCGATCTGCTGCTGGGCCTCCTGGTCCTGCCATTCTCCGCCTTCTACGAACTCGCTAAAGTGTGGCCCTTCGGTAGCACTTTGTGCAACATCTACACCAGCCTGGATGTCATGCTGTGCACGGCTTCCATCCTCAACCTCTTCATGATCAGCCTGGACCGCTACTTTGCAGTCACCACACCACTACGCTACAGCCAGCTGGTCACTACCACCCGGGTGGCTGTGGGCTTGGTCATTATTTGGACGGTTTCACTAATGGTGTCCTTCCTACCCATCCACCTGGGCTGGAACACCAACGGGACAGCAGTCCAAAACATATCCCCCAACTGCAACAAGGAGTGCACGCTTGAGGTGAACCCTGTGTACGGGCTAGTGGACGCCTTGCTCACCTTCTACATCCCTTTGGTCATCATGTGCATCACTTACTACCGGATACTGAAGATAGCAAGGGAGCAAGCCAAGAGGATAAACCACACGTGGTGCTGCAGCAACAACACCCCCATGCCACCCATGGTGAAAGAGCACAAAGCCACCGTGACGCTGGCGGTGGTGTTGGGAGCATTCATTGTGTGCTGGTTCCCCTATTTCACAGTGTTCACGTACCGGGGGGTATGGGGGGACAGCAGGGTGAAAGGCACACCCATGTCCATTGTCCTCTGGCTGGGCTATGCCAACTCAGCCCTGAACCCCATCCTCTACGGGACGCTCAACAGGGATTTCCGAGTGGCATACCAGCACTTGCTGCGCTGCTGGAGGACTGGGGGTCCCAGGAGGTCTCGCCTGCCTCCCCTCCCAAAGGCCCAGTCCAAGGGAAAGAACTGCAGGCAGGACCAGGGCAGGCAGGAGGGTAAACCCCTGAAACTGGAGACGAGGAACGGGAAGGGGATCTTGCTGACCGATGGATCCCTCAAAAGGTAAGAGTCTTCTTCATGTGGGGCTTTGATGGTAGTCTGACCCCAGAGAGGAAGGCAGGGGTGGGGACCCTAAGTTGTCCATGAACTTTGAAGCAGCAATCCGGATAGCCCAGCAGGAGATCCTTTCCCAGGTAACTGTTGCTCTTTGCAGACACCCAGAAATTCATCACCACAGGCGGGATGCCAGCTCACATCCCTCCGTGCTGGCAGCACAGGTCCAGCTGTGCCAGCTTCACACACAGCTGGCCCCCCCTGCCATCGCCACCCGTTGACAGGGAGCACAAAACATCCCTGGCTTTGGTGGGTTATGGGGACAGTTTTGCCACCAGAATTTGCTGTACAGAATGGGGTGCAGCGATTAGCTGCAGGTGCTCCCAAAAACCGGCCGTGTCCCGCTGTCCAGTGGCAGGCAGCCAGCAGAGCCTGGGCACACAGCAGAGCTGGGAAGGGGCACAGGAAAGGTGACCATCCATCACGGGGTAAAAACAGAGTGGGCACAGAGTTGAGGTCACACGGTCATGCTGCAAGTCCCTGCAGGAGCTGCCATCTGGGATCCCAGCTCCCTGCAGAGTGGCTCAGCAGTTCCCCTTCCCAGCTGAGCCACTTACCCTCAGCACTTCAGCTGTTGGTTTGCATCAGCAGTGAGTTCAGACAACAGCAAGTCACATTCCCATCTCTGGAAAGCAGCAAGAATAGCCAAAATTAGGCTGGCAAATGTTTTTAGAAATACAAATACCCATGTAAAGGTTGAGCCAAAAATTCCCTCAGTATCACTCCAAGCATGTCACAGGGGTCAGGCCCCTCGGAGGAGTGCGGGTCCAGCAAGGGAGCAGGATGGGTGCAAGGCAGGCAAACTATGTGACGGACTGTGGCACCAGTCCCCTCCATGGGCACCCATGTCCCCACAGGGCTGGGCCACCCGCCACTCCATTGCCCAAAGGCATTAGCCCACCTGAGGTGAAGGAGAGATGTGTGCTGTCTGCCTCGGTGCAAACTGCTGCTCCCGAGACTGTAATCTAACTTCTAGGCAGTGCCTGATAAGCAGCCCAGAAACTTTCCATCCCGCAGATAAGGAGTCCTTTGACTCCCCGTTCCCAGCGTGCCAGCAAAGAAGTCGCGCTGTGCTCCCCTGCAGCACGTGCCCTTCATCCCGTCCCAGAAACACGGTCTCAAGCCACTGAAAGGAGAACGTAGGGAGGTGAACCAAAGGGCAGAGCTATCCAAAAAGCTCAGCTGGCATTATGCCTCCCCTTGGGGCATGGATGTGACTTTACCCAAGGCAGAAGGGCAAGTGAGTCTGCCCTGGGAGACAGAGAAGGATGGGTGAGTGCCAAGAGCACAGCTCCTGGGGCTGCCTTTTCACCTTCCAAGGAACTAACACAGAGTGCAGGGGTATAGCATTTGGTAAACGTAGTTGCAGGAATATATAAAAAAATATGAAGAGCATGCGCCTGGCATGGTGGACATGCTTCTGCAAACATACAAAGAAAGAGCCGTGCTGTTTATTCACACAGAAACGCAGCTCCTGGGCAAACGGGGAGCTCATGCAGCCGGGCTCTGCCGCTGGCCAGGGAGAGCGGGCCAAGGGGAATGGGCCGGCAGGACTTCCCTATGCAGCTAACAGGGAGAAGAAAAACGCCAACGACTTCTCAAAGTGCTGCCTTACCACAAAGGGAGAATAATGAGATGGAAGGAAAGAAAAGGGGAAGAAAAATAGGTTTCTGTTCCCCAGGCAAAGGCCAGGGTACTGGAGCCTGCTTCCTTCTGGCTTTCCCAGGGTACTTCCCCTGATTGCCTGGAGGGCCCTATCCTGCTATGGGAGTTGCATCCAAAGTCCACACCAGGGTCAGTGGCAGCCAGGGCACCTCCATCCCCAAACTCTCAGCATGCAGGTGCCTAGGGCCATCAGGGCTCGGCAAAAGCCTCAGTGCAGGGACCCGGGATGAGGCTCCACACTGTCCTCACCTCTGCGGGGTGAATTTCCCTCACAGCTAAAACCCCAATGAGTCTCCCAGTTGGATTTGCTCCCAGGGGTGCAGGAGGTTGGAGGAAAGAGGGCGAGTAGCGGCCGGTGCCACAGCAATGCAGATACACGAAACAAAGGAACCCTGGGGAAGCGAGAGAGGAAGGATCAAGCACCGGGCATGTTTCTTGACCTTTCTAAATCCAGAGATCTCCTTCACGTCCTACACAGCACCTCTGCTGTGGTTTCTGCTCACAGTCAGATAAGAGTTTCTCGCACACCGAATGATCACCGCACACCGATATTGCTTTCACTTTCTCTGCTTCTTAGTCTGCTCACTTGCACACAAGTGACGCACCAAGGATCACGTGGGGCCACTTCCAACCCTTTTTCCCATAGTCAGATATAGAAACATCCAGTGTTAGCTGATGATCTGGATCAACTAACACCACACAAGACAGGTGGGCACAAGATTTACCTGTGCACCAAAAGCCTGGAAGCCAATTTCACCCAAAGCACAAACCGAGCCCATTACTCTCCCCCAGTCCCTTCTGCAGTCTTCCCAGTCATCTGCCCCAGCCACGTTAGCAGGAAAAGACCAACACAAGTCACTCCACAAACTCATAACCCCCCCAGATAAGGAGGTCCAGAGCTCAGAAGAGCTCTGCTCAGAGCAGCTCAACAGGATCATTCAGGGGAAAGTGCGACCAGCAGTATTTTGAACCGCTGCCCTTCATAACAATGTTCTTTCCTGTTATGAAGCGTAGAGAAAAGATCAGCAAACAATAGTGGGAATACTGGAGAACTGCAGCTGGTCTCAGGGGTGTCAGGTGCAGGGACAAGGAATTGGAGTCATCGCTGCTTTGGAAATCAAAAAGCCACAGGACTATCAGAACCATTAAAGGGCTGGAGGCATTTCCATAGGCGAGGACCAGGGAGGGTGGAGAGTGCAGGGCCAAGCAGGGATGCGAGGGAAGATCAGCTGCTTGTGTCTCCCCACCAGACACCAGAGAGGCGAGGCACCTCGCTTCCCACAAAACCAGTACAGGAAAGCTCTGCTTGTACACACGACACCCCACGGACCTTAGGAACCTGCTTCCCTGCAGTGGGACAGGACTCAAGAGGAGCATGCCGACCACCAGGCATGGCTGTAGTTTGTAGACCAGTCCTTGAGGTCCAGAGAGATTAAAATCGTGAAAGAAGGAACATTCAGCACTAATGGGGAGGTATCAGGCAGAAAATGCCGGAGCTGAGCGAGCGGCTCTGGATCAGCCTCCTGCACAGATCAGCTGTGCTCAGGGCAGCTTGGGGAAGAACCGTGGCCACAATATATGGGCAGAGAAAAGCCAGTTCCCGTCACTGTCCCAGTCAAGGTGAGCCTGCCCCAGTCTGCCTGCCTTGGCTGTTGGCCTCAGGGGCAGACACCAGGCAGGTACCTGGTGCAAAAGCTGGGCTTGACCAGGCTGACACTGACTGATCTCTTCCTTTTCTCTCTTTCCTTTCTGCCTTCACGTGCAACTTAACCCTTTTCCAGTGCTGTAGCTTTCCCGTGAGTCTCAGTCAGCCCGCTGCCCTAGGACCCACACCTCCCAGCCTTCAACTCCTGGCTGCCCTCTTCCAAAATCCTGTGAGGTTGAAAGGACAACACTCAATTTTCCTCAGGGAGAAACTCAACGGCAGAGGCAAGGGTCTCGGGGTGAGTACAGGTCTGGGGTCACTGGGTGCAAATGAGGGGAGGGGGCAGCTCTCCCTGCTGTGGCCCCCACTACATTTTTCCTGGTCCAGCCATCCCATCCTTGGTGCAGAGGGTGATACCATCAGAGGTGAATCCTCAATCCTCTCTCTAGCATCATTTGCTCTCCAAACCTGGCCCCAAGCCTGGGGGAGGTGCAGAGAGTTGTGCACCCTCAGCTGCCCTGGGGGTGTGGACTTCCATGCCCTGGAAGGTGGCTGCATCCTGCCTGTCCCTCCACACGCTGCAGAGGCAGCTGCATTCAGACCGCAGATTTCCAGCAGTCTTCATTTTCATGCAAGCCTACATCAGCTCCACGTAAATTGTCGGCAGCTTTTGCAGGGATGCTGGCAGGGCTCCCGGGGTAAGGGGCTGATGCTGCATCAGGCATTGCCGCTCTCTCCCAGCGGTGTGGGACTGTAGGACATGGCTGCCAGGCATAAGGATGCCTCTCAGCTCCAGAGAGCCACTTTGTGCAGCCCTTCTTAGGAAGGGCCAGGCAAGGTCACCCTGACCTCCACATGCTCTCCCTCCAGCGCCGCATGCTGATAATCTGGGTTCTCCTGTATTGACTGTACCCTGGAGGGGGAAAGTACAGTCACCCACGTGCTGGAAGCTCGGTACACTTGTCCCTGCGGCACTCTGAGCGCTGCTAACGTTAGCCAAGGTCGTTGCGATGGCGAGAGCTGGTGCTGTCTGCCCACACGTGCAGCCAGGAGGGAGCTGGGGCTGTTGTTGAAGGAGAACACAGGGGTCCCTACCCTGGGGCACAACATCAGCCTGCAGCTCTTGGAGGGACTCCCTGTGAATCACCCTGGAAATGCCATCGCCCTCTAGCAGAAGGAAAACCAGAGGCTTGGAGAGCGAGGTGGCAGGAGCAGGGCAGCAAGGTCCCCGTGACCCTGGCAGGTACTGCTGGGCTGTAGGTCCCTCCACACAACATAGCAAGGCAGAAGCATCACTCAGAGGGGAGGTCACAGTGCAGAGACTGCTCCCCAGGGTGGCATCACCATAGCCCCAGCACCACACCATGGGAGGGAACAGGGCAAAGCCCCAAGCCTGGGGGTCACAACTGCTCACAGTAAACCTCCCCAGGGCAGACGTGGTGCTCACTTCCCAGCAGTCCAGACAGCAGAATCATAGAATCATAGAATCACTAGGTTGGAAAAGACCTTAGAGATCATCCAGTCCAACCGTATCTGTCCACCACTAAACCATATCTTTCAGCACCTCATCCACCCGTCTCTTAAACACATCCAGGGATGGTGACTCCACCACCTCCCTGGGCAGCCTGTTACAGTGTGT